CTTAGAGTAGCTATGAGGATAAAGTGAAAGATGTATTTAGCATAGTGCTAATAAATAATAGCTTGGTATTGTTATTTAATGGCTCTCCTTTTAGTGACAGAAAAAAATTAAGTTATTAAAGTATATCTCAAAAAATATATATATATCAATATTAGTTGTTATCAATATATTCCTAAAAAGAGGTACAGAGAAAGAAAAAGAGAAAAAATAAAAGGGTAAAGAGGAAGTTAGCAAAGGAAAAGGTGGAGGTGAGAACTCAAAAGTCCCAAAGTAGTCTAGATTAATACAGAGGAATGTGACAAAGTATTGTGATCCCACTAGGTATATTCTGTAGTTCCCTAGGCCAGTGAGTCCTAAGAATCCACAGATATGGGGGCCGGCCTGTGGCTCACTCGGGAGAGTGTGGTGCTGATAACACCAAGGCCACGGGTTCGGATTCCTATATAGAGATGGCTGATTAGCTCACTGGGTGAGTGTGGTGCTGACAACACCAAGTCAAGGGTTAAGATCCCCTTACTGGTCATCTTTAAAAAAAAAAAAAAAAAAGATACAGAATAAGAAATATCAAGTGCATTGCAAACAGTAAACATAAGAATCATTTTGTGGGGCCAGCCCGTGGCTCACTCGGGAGAGTGCGGTGCTGATAACACCAAGGCCCCGGGTTCGGATCCCATATAGGAATGGCCGGTTGCCTCGCTGGCTGAGCGTTGTGCTGACAACACCAAGCCAAGGGTTGAGATCCCCTTACCGGTCATCTTTTTTAAAAAAAAAAAGAATCATTTTGTGAAAACGTTTCACAGTGTGTATATGTATTTTATACACACTGGGTTATGATGTAAATTTTTTTTTTTTAAACTGTGGGTCCAAAAACATTTAAAAAACACTGCTTTGGAGAGGCCTGACACTGAAAGATGAGTTAGCTCATTTTGTGAAAACGTTTCACAGTGTGTATATGTATTTTATACACACTGGGTTATGATGTAAATTTTTTTTTTTTAAACTGGGGGTCCAAAAACATTTAAAAAACACTGCTTTGGAGAGGCCTGACACTGAAAGATGAGTTAGCAGAGATGGAAGGTAGTCTCTGGACAGTCTACAACTGGTTACTACTAAAGCACTTCTACATGAAATTCACATGAAGGCTAAAAATATAGCTCTCCAGAGGTCAGAGGATTCCCCAACACTGCTAAAGTTCCCAAAGTAGATTTTTTTTTTTTGGCAGGTGGCTGGTACGGGCATCTTAGAACCCTGGACCTTGGTGTTATCAGCTCCTTGCTCTCACCAGCTGAGCTAACTGGCCAGATCCTCCTGCTACTAAAGTTATAGAGCAATCATGAAAGTGGGAAGAGCCAACCTAGACAGAGGCAGTTCTGCATAGTGGTAAGGGCTTTGGAATCAGGCAAGCCTGAGTTCTGTTCTCTGTGATCTTAGGCTATTCACTCCCTTTGTCTTTCTGAGCCTCAGCTTCCTTATCTATAAGGACCTTTATGGGAGGAGGGGATTGGTGAAAAGTAGCAAAGAACAGAATTTGAATTCACTTCTGAAGTTCTGTGTACATTTAAGAAACTTGCTTCTATTAAGGCATCTGTGAGGGTGAATTATTTCTAAAACATATTTATGTGGTACTTCATATACAATGTCTCATAGGGAAAGAGGATAGGCCATCATAACTCTAAACTTTAAAACACAAAACAGATGACACAATGAGAAAAAAAAAAGACAGATGATAAGCTGATCAAGTTTCCTTCAGGTGACATACATATACTATCTTCTCAAGAAACAACAGGAAGGGCTGGCTCGTGGCCCACTTGGGAGAGTGTGGTGCTGACAACACCAAGTCAAGGCTTAAGATCCCCTTATCGGTCATCTTTAAAAAGAAAAAGAAACAACAGGAAAAGTTACTAGTTTCTTCAACTTATTCCCTCACATTTTTATCTACTTCAAAGCATGTGCTTCTGAGGGACACAACTTTAAGCCTCAATGTTACTACTCTACAATAAGAAAACATGGGAGATAGAAAAGACTGAATTCTCATGGCCAGACACATCCCTCTTGGCCTGGGAAAACAGTAAGGGTTTGGGAGTGTGAAGATAGGAAACAGTCATGGACACACTTGGGTTGCAAAGTCCTTGTCACTAAACCCCCACAGACAGGAAGTCAAGCCAGAGCCCATACACGGTCAGCAAAGTTTCTTGCTACTAAGCAACTTTGGATTGTTACAGATTATTAACTACTGGTTCGAAAAGACTACCTACCACCTAAATATGTAACCTCAAGAATAGGTCTTACCTTCCCTGTTCCTTGTAATTGATGAGCTACCTATCTCTGAGCCTTGATCTTTAATCTTACCATGTTTATAAAGTTATCCTTTTTTATGTAATAGCTAGACTCTCAAAAGATCAGGGGTACAGAAATGAAATAATACATATAAGATTCTATTGATTTCTTCCCTATTCTGGTGATGATTTTTTTGCTAAGAGTTGACAATAGGCAAATGATCCATTCAAAGGCAAACAAACCAAGGCAAACCAGTCAAGTGGTGTGATTATTACCTTCAAACCTGAGGTAAAAAAAACTCAGAAGAGAAGATATCATAACTTCCCTTAGAAGTACAGCTCCACAAGAATGGATTATCAAAGGACCCACTAACTAGGGAGGATTGAGGCCTGATCATGGGTCAGCCCAGAGGTGACAAGGGTATAGGGATGGGTATACAGGGTGTTCTTTAGCATGGACAGCTCTCCAAGCAGTGCAGGAAAGTAGGCAAAACAGAAAACATTTCTTAGTCTGCCAGTTCCAGCTACAGCAAGACTCCATTCCTCAGGCCCCCTTCCACTTGCTAGCTTTGAGTATTTATACCGACTACATATAAAGCCTCCAAAAATCTATCACCTATCAACAGAGACTGAGTTCCCAGTATACGGCCACAGAAGTCTAGCCCAGTCCCTAATGTCAGGCCTATAAGGTCAGTTAGGCAGATACAAGTCAGTCTAGAGTCATCTAGCCCAGTCTCTGTATTTTACAAGTGAGAAAACCGAGGCATATAAAATCAGTCAACTTGGGCTAGCCTGTGGCTCACTCGGGAGAGTGCAGTGCTGATAACACCAAGGCCATGGGTTAGGATCCCATATAGGGATGGCCGGTTAGCTCACTTGGGAGAGTGTGGTACTGACAACACCAAGTCAAGGGTTAAGATCCCCTTACCGGTCATCTTTTAAAATAAATAACATTAAATACACACATACATACATACATACATACATACATACATACATACATACATACATACAATCAGTCAACTTGTCAGGTGTTACCATTACAGCCAGCTATCACACAGCTGCTAAATAGCAAATGTAGGACTTCTAGTCAGGTATTCCTGCCTCTTTTATACTACATACATACATACATACAATCAGTCAACTTGTCAGGTGTTACCATTACAGCCAGCTGTCACACAGCTGCTAAATAGCAAATGTAGGACTTCTAGTCAGGTATTCCTGCCTCTTTTATACCACTATATCTCTTAAGGAAGCAGGAAATGCTGAACTCTATAAAAGGGCACCAGGACAGGAAGAAGAGTTTAGACTGAATAGAGTTTCTACCTCTATTCAGTTTAGGTAAATACTTGCTTTGGGACTAAAAAACAAGTAAGGAAGACCAACCTTCCCTGGGAACTGGGATCTAATCCCATATCCTTCTGACAGAAGGATTAATTCATCTACTACTCCTCTCTAGAAGGCCTTGACCAACCCCCGCCAGGAGAGGTGGAATAGAAGCAATTCAATGGGAGGCAATAGAGAAAGAAGTAGTAATTTTACAGGATTCAGTGGGCCTTGAGATTAATGTGAAAGATTTACTAAGTAGGGAAGATAGGGTAGAAGCCAGTAAATACCTTCATCTCCTCTCCAACTTTGTTTAGACCCAAATCATTAAAATCTCAAACTGAGAGTTCTACTACTTGGCTCAGCTCTTTTATTGTGTTGATCCAATGTAACCCAATAAGTCACTGGCTTAAATGAGAGTCCTTCCACTTCCACCACCCTCTCTCATATTTCTCCAAAAGGCAGAAGGCATTCTTATCTCTTATCAGCATGGTAGTACATATTCCTTATTTATTGACCTAGGACAGATTGGAATGCCTTTCCCCTTTGTCTGCCTATCAAAATTCTAATGTATCTCATAAGGCCAGCCTCAAATGCCACCTCTGTAAAACTGCATAATTACCCTCTCACCCCAGCAGAATGCATTGTTGCTAACCCTAGTGTTCCATAAGAGCAGTAT